GTCTCTTCCAAATGGCAAAGGGATTTTATGTGAAAATTTGCAAAGACAAGAATACAATTGGCGGTTTGCCATGCAGTGGAAATTACTAGCTACGACTAGACATTTTCAATTGTTATTCTTTTCCCTGATTGTGAGATATGTACATGTCGCGGTCTCTAGGGCATACTACCGTCTTACCATCCGTGCCGTCCTCCATGACATTGGGCAGGAATCCTTATTAACCGTAACATGTTAATAAAAAAAACAAATTCCTCATTTCTGGTTACAAATTTTATATAGTCAATCCACCTTTTATTGTTACAAGTTCATACTATTTATACATTTACAAAATTTATATTTTATTGGTGCATAATTCTAGGCTTTTTTCTTCAATTAAGCTCTACTTAAGAGCATTCTCCAGATACCCTTAACCAGCCAATTGCTCCTTATTCTCGCATTTAGTATTATTCACCTTGTTAGCAAGTATTTCTAAGTCTTGTGGTGGAGAATTTTTCTTCTCTGTCACAGCGTATGTAGGCGTTATCAGCTTGGCTGGCAATGCGGGTAAGGGATCATTAGAAGCGCGCTTGCTACGTGGCGATACTTCGGCATAACTGACCAGGCTAGTGTCACGATATTCATATTTGGGTGCCAGTGGTGGCATGTAGCTATCAATGGACTCGAAATTTAGCGATCTTTTTTCATTGCCATTGTCAATTTCTTGCAAGCGCAAATAAGCTGGTATAACTTCATACAAATTAATATTCATATAACTTTGATTACTTTCCACACTAGTGACGGAGCTGCGGCGGATGGTTTGGCCGTTGGTGTTGGTATCTTCCAAGCTAAAAAGAACAAAATAAAAATAAACAGATTTAGGATAATAAAATTACAATATTTTAAACAGATTCGAAGTACTTAGATTAGGGTTATCCTTAAATGTGTTAAACACGTTTCGACATCAGATTTCCTAAACCTCAATCCCTACGTCGATGCTACTATCGCCAAAGTTATTAAATGTAAATTTTGATCCCGATCGGAGACGGCTAAGGCGCACAGTGTTCTGCTATTTCGATTCGTACAAAATAAATTCCCAACCGCGAATTCCGAGGTCAAAGGTCAACTAAAACAAGTAAGAAAGTCTAAGTTCGGGCGGAGCCGAACATTAAATACCCGGCGCAAGTATTAAATATATGTTTTCCACCTTTCCGAAAGCTACCGCTACATGATAAGCCGGGGTGTATACATTTTAAGTAAATTAGCG